GCCAGAGCAGCCCTGTTGAAACAACAATAAAACCCACCAAACACACACACACGCTCGCACGCACGCACACGCAGCGCTCTGGACGACGTTCAAGTCAACCACGAGAAACAGTCTTCTGCAAGTGAGAGGAAGCAAAACTGGCTACCCAGACAGACTGAGGGGCTGCCTGCTCTTAGACTTGACTTTCACCTCCTTTTCTTCTTGGGCCAAGAATTGTGGCACTGCAGAAATAATAATTAAAAGCAAAAAAGTAACACTACTCCTGGATTACATTTCTTTTTTGAACTAAACACAAAAAGCGACACCAAAACAACTCTTGAGAAAACTCACAGAGCTGTACCTGAGATAGTGAAGTCAGCGGCCCTGGATTGTGTTACAGACTCAGGCTCTCATTTATTTAACGCAATACAATGCGGTGGTATGTGGCTTTGAAATGATGAGTTTTACTTGCTTGTCTAGGTCTTCCTACGCACCCCCTTCCACCCCAGACACAGATTTTTTTCCTCTTTGTACATTTTTAAAGAGACTGTTTCAACTAAATGTCATTTCTGTTTTACGGGTTGAGCGATAGTGTTGGATTTCCAGACCTAATGCACATTTTTTTTTTTAGCTTTGGCATCTTTAATATATATGTCACACTTTTATGGAGGGAATCTAGGTAACATTGTGCATCCAAAACGTGTGAAATGCAGCATTTTTCCTGCTTCAACTCCCTACTTTTCCCTATCTCCCCATGATGGAAAAAAATTACTGTACAAATGATACTTTAGTTGTATATAACTTGTAGCCCATTCTCTCTTTTTGGAGCATTTTTTTCTTCCCTTTAAGGTGAATATGCACAGCATTGTTACATATTCTCATTTAAAGGTGTATTTATTTAGCTCTGATTGGTGTGTTGGAGTTTTTTACATCAATATTCTAAAGTTTAGTTACCCACCCCTTGTCCCTGAAGTTGCAGGATATAATTGTTAGCCCTCCTCCAACTCCCATCCACTTAAAAAAAAAAAGATTATGATGGATTTCTTCCCGCTCCTGCTAATACTTTTTTTTCTGCCCTGCTGTTTTTGCTCTAGGATTTTTTCCCCTCTGCCTAAGTCTGTGTGTGTGTGTGTGTGTGTGTGTGTGTGTGTGTGTGTGTGTGTGTGTGTGTGTGTGTGTGTGTGTGTTCTCTTCCTTCCTTCCTCGTCCTCTC